CAGCAGACCTCTCCTGTCTCACCTGCTGCTCCCCTCCACAGTGTATTTCAATAGATCCACCTGTTCTGTTCCCTACTCCCTACCCCCACCTCCGCCACTCTGGTCTACACCCCACTTCTTGTATGCATAAAATAGTAACTGTATATATTTTAAAAATAAAGACACAAGCAACTGTTACGTGTAAACACTCCTTGAGTTGATAGTTTCTTAGGGGTATAGGTAACTTGTATACAGCATGGGGTGGGGGGGTTGCTTTATAACAGAGAATCTTAACACCACCTGACTAAGGTCAACATCAGCGTGATACATCAAGATGATTAGTATGTTCCCTCCATGCGACTTAGGATAACATGTCTTCTCTCTGGTCTTCTTTACAAAACATGACAAACACATGAGAGAAATCCCCAAATGCAGAATATTCTAAAATCTACCCTCAAACCATCAAGGTCATAAAACAAAGTAAGAAATTGTCAGACCAGAGGAAGCTGATAAGGAGCACAAATGACTAAGTGTAATATGGTTACTTGGATGAGCTCCCAGAACAGAAAAAGAGGATATTATATAAAAACTAATGAAACATGAATAAAGAATGGAGGTCATGTAATAATAGTGTTAGTTGTGACAAAAGTCTAAGAATGTAAGATGTAACATCTGAAGAAATGGTATGGATATATAGGAACTGTTAATCACTCTTCTGTAAATCAAACTGTTCTAAAATTACTTCTAAAATATAAAAACTGCACAGACTTTACCCATATGAAGATGCTCAGTCTTGCTCTTAATGAGATCTGCACTGAGTCTAATGTTTCCCTGTTGGGTTGGCAGAAATCAAAAAAGCTGGAAATATAGTTGGTTGGTGAGATGGTGAAATAGGTACTCAGAGTTGGTGTGATTTTGCTAAAATCTGGCAAAATTATATACATTTGTTCTTTTCCCAGAAATTCTACTCCTGGGGTTCCATCCCAGAGGAACACAGCAAAAAATATGAAAATCAGTAAATGTGCACAAACCTATTGTCACAGAGATATGTACAATAATTATAGAAGCAGTTCAAGCATCCAATAATAGGTAATCAAATAAAAAATCTGAATGTAGTCCAACCTCTAGAATCCAGAGTTTAGATCAAAGTAACAATGTATAGAAAACAGAGATAAAATATATCAACACAACAAAGACACAGACCCCGTGCAGAACAAGGCCGATTCTCCAATTAATTGGTGGGGGAATACATTTTGGATATTTGATAATTTGTTCATATTAAGTGTGGTGCTACTGTGGTTTGTTTTTGTTTTTTTTTAGCATTTCCTAGATTTTAGCAATCACAAGAAACGATCTATCCAGGATTTGCTTCAAAATACTGCAGGGTGCAGGGAGTGACAAAATATGTCAGAGTAGGGGAGCAGATTGGAGTTGAGATGTAAGCAACTGATCCTTATGTTCCATCCCATGCTGCCTACTCTCATAAATGTTTAAAATCTTATAACAAGGTAATTTTTTTCAGATCAGAAAGTTATCTCTTTGAACAGATTCTAAACAATGAGCAACCAATTCACATGCGTTGTTCTGCTGTTTTTAATAGAATAGGAACACATTTAAGGGAGAAGCCTCAAGGCTGATTAACTTATCAGCCCTTCCTTTCTCACCAATTCTTACAGAGAAGTGAATTTGGGCAGGGTTTTAAGACCATGCACACGTTGAGAACTCCACACCCTTGCTTCAGCCAGCTTCCTCCTAGAAAGCAAAGCCAGCTGGGTGACTCATCAGCCTGGAAGGCAGGCCCTCCGTCTCAAGAGCAGAAATGGTGGGCAAGTGCTAGGGGAAAGGCCAGCTGGCATCAGAAGCAGGGTCTGGAAGAAGTTGGTATTGGAAAAAGGAAAGAAACAGCTGGATCTGCTTTTAACATTTATTAATCCAAAAATACATTAAATTCCACTTTCTCCCCCAGGTTCTCAGACTTTCAAGAAGGGAGGTAGCTGCCAGCCTTAAGTACCTGGTGTAATACCTAAGTGCTCTTTTCTATTTCAGGTGGGAGAAAAGTGAGGAGGTGAGTCTCAAATCAGGGAACCCCAAAATCAGACCCATGCCCTGCAGAGGCCCTGCTAGGGCACTGCAGCCCACAGCACTTGGCACTTCTTGCCAGAGGAAATGGGGCAGCCATCAGACTGGGCCACTCTAAGGCAATTCCCTCCCTATAATTAGGCCCCAGAGTGGAGGGTCTTTCCCTGCTCAAGGGTGCTGATGGCTGAGTCCCCCAGGGCCAGCTGACCAGAGCTAGTGGTCCAGGAAGAGTCCCCAAATCAAAGCCAGCTTCCATCTTCCTTCAACTTCAACAGGGAGAACCTGGAACTTGGGCTACTTTGCTCCTCGTTGGCCCAAATCCATTTCCAGGAGATCCAGAGATATGACCCAACAGTCAACCAGGTGCCCACTGGGGCCATCACCAGCCCATCAGTCCACAGAGTCACCCAAAAAGCCTGGGCCAGCCACAATCCACAGTCTCATTATTGCATGCCAACTGGGTGCATGGGCCAGGGCCCCTGACCAGCACCCAGGCCTGGCACTGGCGGGGCCTGGGCCAGGGGCTGTAAGCGCTGCTGGGACTGCCAGAGATGATGGAGCTCCTTGAACTGTTCCACCATGTGGTCTTTGAGGTCTGGATTTGAGATCTGTAGGCGGATACTGTCAGCTGACCAAGAAAGCTCCCCTGAGAACATCTCCAGCAGCAACCTTGCTGCTACCGGCACCACCTGTGGGGGGTGCAGAAAACAGGTCAGGCAAATCCAGATGTGCCTGAACATCCACGGGGGCTGTTAGAGGACCACAACCATCAGGGAGACGGACACCACTGTCTACTTTGCAAGCAGGTTACTTACGTGTGGGCAGCCCTGGCCTCCATTATCTCTGGTTACCTAATGAGCCCCCACCCAGGGCGAGTGTGCAGCGCCAGGGCCCCCCAATATGCAGGCTGAGGTAGACCTGGGCGTGGGAGATGGTGGTATACCTGGACCGTGATGAGCTTCTTCTCTCTGGGTTTTGGGTCAGGCCATTCCTCCCCAAAGCAGAAGAAGATCTCGAACGGTGGTGGGGTGCTGGTCTGGCCCTTCTGGAACAGGATGAGCTCTGTAGCGAGATCAAGACCCCTCATGAGAGGCTTGAACGATGCCCCTGAGTGAGCAGAGGCCAAAGGAACGTGGTGTGGGGGCCTCACCATTGAGAAAATGTTCCAGGCTGAACAGCTTGGTCTTGACCTCCCGCTGGATGGGGTTGGGCCGGGAGCTGTGGGCTGAGGCGCAGGGCCCACTCCAGAACACCTTGCACTGGCAGAGGCGGATGGCGTACAGATCCTGGCCCTGGAGCTGGAGGATGAGCCCGCGGTCCAGGACGTCCAGCAGCTGGTTGGTGTAGAAGCGCTGCTTTTCACTGGGGATGTCCTCGGGGCTGGGGAAGCGCACTTGCTCCAGGCTCACGGGCCCGAAGAGCTCCACTTGCTCCTGGGTGGCTTCCAGCTGGCTGTAGAAGAGCCGGCAGCCTTGTGGGTTGCTGATGGTGAGGGCGCGGGGTGGTCGCCCCCGGTACTGGAACTTGATCTCCAGATCAGTCACTGTGGGCAGAGGCAGGCCCGCTGTCCGTGAGCTCCCCACGCCTGTAGCCCGCTGACTTCCTCTGACCTGGGTGTTTCTATCTTTTGACCCAGCAGACCTCACAGACCCTGGCTAAGTCTGGTCAGGGTCCCCTTTACTTCCGCCCACCCCAAACGGCACTAGCATGGGCCTTTCTGACCTCTTTCTTATCCTCCATTCTCCTTGCAAGCCCACCCCAGCCCCCTGCCCGGCCCACCCGCACTCCTTACGAGGCAGCATGTGTGGGCTGATCAGCAGGTCGGGCAGGAGTTGTTCACAGGTGGAGGGCAGGCTGGTGGCCATGGACCCAGGGTCCAGGCCTGGCAGGATTTCGGGGAGAAGGTCCCCAAAGCCAGCAGGGTTGCCAGGGGCAGGTGCCAGGAGGCTGGGGTCTGGAACCGGGGGACCCTGCACCACGGGTGGCTGGAGAGTGGGTGGCCACTTGACATCTTCTTTGGGTACAGGATAGGGTGCCAGAGTAGGGCCGGACTGCACAACTTCTACAGAGGTGGGGTGGGCAGAGTTGTCAGTGCCGCTTGCAGGACCCACCTCTCTGGCCTACCTCCACCCTGTCCTCTCAGTCCCCCCTTCAGCCCCCCTCCTGGGTACGAAGGTACCCACAGCCTCTGCTGGTACTAGGGGCCCCGCCACACAGACTCACGTGCCCACCTGTGAGGCTCAGGCTGGGTAGCATCCTCTGGAGCTGAAGGAGAAAAAGAGCAGAAGAGGAAGGAAGAGGCCGGAGAGACAAGGGAGGAACAGAAGATTCAGTTGGTCCGAAGTTGAGAACCACAGGCATTTCCAAGCCATCTGGGGGCCAAGGCCAGACCCCTCCCCAGTCCCAGCCCTGCCTCTGCATCTTTGCTGCCTTCTGCAGGCAGGAACACTGAGAAAGGAATTCTGACAGGCCTGAGCAGGAGCCCCTCAGACCAACAAATGACCCAGAGAGAGGAAACAGAAGTGACAGGAAGAGCGAGAGGCTCCAGGGGGATGGGGCTGGGCACCCACAGCCTAGACCGCAGGGCCCAGTGGGTGTGGGTGCCCCCCCCCAAAAAAAGCAGCCACACTCACCTCCTCCTCCTCCTCCTCCGCGGCCTCCTCCTCCTCCCCTGCACCGAAAGCGTAGTCCTCGCTGGGCTGGGACTCTGCAGAGGGAGGATGAGCAGAAAGAGGGGAAGGGCCCATTGGGGGGAAGCAGGGGAACCACCAGGTCTCCACAGGCCTGGGTCTCCCCTTCCCAGAGCTGCCCACCAGAGTGACATGAAGGCACAGCGACAGGACTCCAGGACTCGGTAGGGACGCCCCCCCTCGTTCCCC